TCATCTTCAATGTTCAAGGTCAATATGTTTTAATAATGTTCTTTTATCTAAATATATGGATTTTTACGATGTTCTTTTATCTAAATATAGGGACTCTGAATCATCGTCTTATTTCTAAACTTAAAAAATACAAATGCTCTAAGTAATTGTCTAATAATTAACAGAAAGAGAGCGCAAAGAATTCGGCTCTGGAAAGAGGAAATATTCTTTGTGATGAGAGCTTGTGATAATTAATCATGAAATAAGTGCTTCTCTGACCAGAGAGTGGCCTCTGAGGAATACATATTAAGTGGATGTCCTCAGCGTCAGCATTATATGTTTCATCAAGTCAGCAAGATAGCCAGATACTCCATATAAACATTGCAGAACGAGATGACAGACAACAGCTGGCACTGTTTTTACGTTTATGTTTAATGTATATGCTCCTGTTTGCCATTCCATGTCCTTTCTCCTCTGAGTAAACACCAGGGTACACACGTTACAACTGTTGCCATAGTTCTTTCTGGGATCCTGATTTTCCTTTAATGTTTTGGCTTACGGTTTTGAGCTCTTTATTATTCCAGTCGTTGAAAGAGTACTGTCTGCAAATCAGTTTGGGATGAACAGGAAATCAGGGGTATGGCATTTCTACAACATGAGATGTCTCGGGAGCAACGCCTGGAGCTGCTGAAGGTAATGCCGGGCGCAGCCAGCACAGGGGAGGCGTCGGGTAATTGGAGGTGGTTTGTGAGTCGAGAGAGCAAAGAGGATGCACTGTGAAACAGAAAACAGAGATGCTGAGTCAGGGGGCTGGCAGGCTCTCCAGGGAGCCAGCTGGAGGGAAGTGTGTAAGGCTCTTCGGAATTACTGGGGAACAAGAAGAAGTGTGGTCAGGAAGGGGTTCAGAAAAGGAGTAGAAATAAGTATCGAAATTGAATTTGAAGGCCAAACTGCAGATTTATGAGAGATTGTAGATTTCTACACATTAAGCTTTGACTTGTGAATTTTTCTGCGTCTTGAAAAACACTCACCCAAAGGGTAGTGTTCTAAACGAGAGTGGATTCCGAGGCAGTTATGAGAGTCACGTATGCGGGGATGATGATAAGAAGAAGCAGCGAAGTGGTCAATGAGCACACGGGATTGTCAAAGGCTCACAGCAGTTTCCACTGAGGTCGGCCAATATTAAGGTTCAAATGACAGGCAATTATTATCCATGAGGTAAATCTAAAATTTCTCTCAATATAAATCAATGCACGATGACAAAGTCTCAGGGGGAACAATCACAATCTCTATATTTTTTTTATTACCTGGGAGTCCCCGCGTATTTGTAAGCCTAGCAGGAGGCCTCTAAACTAAAAGCACCTAATTATGTTGAAAAAGGCATGAACCGACTCCGTTTAAGCCAGAGATGAATGATGATGAGTGATGATGACAGCTGTCACTGACTGAGGGCCTATGCTCCAAGAACTGCATGAGACACTTTAAACACAATTTCCCCTTTAGCTCATGGTAACCCAAGGAAATAGACATAGTTTTTTTTCCATTTAATAGTTTGATATTATCCAGATCCACAATACACTGAAAAGGACAATATGTTTTGGGAACATGGGGACTTTCCAGGTCCTCCTGGTCCTACCCAGCAAATAAGCATCTATTAAATGACCGAATGGTGTAAAAGTTATTGACAGTTCACAGACAAAAGGCTGTGAGGAAGATGAAAAAGGAAGCATTAATGGTTTATAGGGAAATTGGGACACACATGCATAAAGATTCAAGCCAGGTTAAACTCAAAAACTAAAAGAACAAAACAAACAAACAAAAAAACTGTGTCATTCATTTTTGTATATTTGGCATAAAGTTTACAGTAGGAATGCAATAGTGATGAATTATTGGACAAATGAATGAAATTATTGAACAAATGAATGAAATCAGGCAACCAACTGACCAAATGCTGCATTATACAGGACTGGCTTTAAGAATTAAAATAGCCTAGAGAAGGAAAGCTCATTATGGACTTGGGTAGTAGCAAGATTTCCTGAACGAGACGAGATCAGAGAGGAACCTGGAAGAGTGAGATATATTGGACTTATAAAGAAGAATCGAAGTCATACAGGAAAAAAAATGCTGTAAACAGGCACAGAACCTCTTTCCTGGTCCCCTTCTGTAGCTCCGTTCTCTCCCACTGCTGCTTCTCACAGCCTTTTGCAGTGAGCTCATCTGCTCTGTTCTCGTTTGCCCTGCTCTTGAGCTCTATCCAGCTAGTTCTCAGAATGCCTTGAAGCTGGCATTGACTTTTGCTAAGGCATTTTTGGATTAACCAAGAACGCCTCTCTCCTTTGGTGGGGAGTGGAAAAACAAACAGAGAGCTTGTCTTATGGATGATTCTAGGCTTTTGCAAGCAAAGTAATAAACTATTCTAAATGAGGCAGAAATCATGAGGAATATCTCCCACTCCCAAACAGCATTTGGGAGACCCTCTCAAGACTTCCAGAAATACATTCCTAGCAGGTCCTCACAACGACCTTTCCACTCCCCTTGTGCCTCTGCCCCAAAGTTAAGGCCAATGTAAACACACCCTTCTCAGACTTTGGTGACGGGGCTCTACATAACACCCAAGGTTCTTCCATTCACTGAGATCTTGTTTCCTAGGGATCAGAAAAGCATCTTCTAGCTCAGGTTTCCTGAACTATTTCCAGTTTAACTTCTGTCAGAGATCCCTGGAATTAGAGCCACTTTGTAATTTGTCTCATGAGCAACGATAACGGTAACCCTCACATGTCTGATGGCTTTTTTTCCCCCTCTGAAAAAGGCTAGTACCATACCATCCTGTTTCAGAGTCTTGTCCTCTTTGATTCTGTTTTTCAGGACCAGTATGAGATATGAAGAGCTGTGCTCAGCAGCAGATCGGCTTGAGCAAAACATAGCTCGCTTTTGGAGTGAAAAACGTGATTTCGCTTTTCACTGGCTGAGCGACGGCTTCTGTTTTGTTACTGCTCTTGGGCTGCAGCACCATCCTTGACAGATAGACAAGCTTCCACACCGATCTCTCACGAAAGAGACAACTATAAACTCCGTCAGTATACAGTGGCTCGTATTTCGAAAATAGCGCCCTAACCCTTCAAGTACAAGGAAGCTCTCAGCAGATCCCGAGAGAGAGAAGGAAGAACAAGGTCAGAATAGGAAAGTTAAGCTACTGTGAGGAGGAGTCAGATGGAGGGCCACATCCTGCAGTGGGAAATACTGTTTTTGAGAATCTGCCGCCAGTCTTTACTAAAAGACTTTCTTGTGAGAGCTGAAAGGTTTTTAGGATTAAAAAAAAAAAAAAAAAACCTAGGTCTGTGAATCTAATATTTTGATGGCGAAATGATGGCCTTTTGTTTTTTAAATAATGTTTTTTTAAAAAGAGAGTCATAAAACAATTATTCAAAAATGGGCTGTAGGAATCTAAAGAAAAGATGTTTGGTTACCAAGATCAGAGCATCTACTTGCATTGATTAGACAACTCCGGCTAATTTCATTTCCTGTCTTGGGTATTATTTCCTGGTAAAAGTGAGAAAAAAAGATCCAGCACTTGATAGGCCCGCTTTCCCTGAAGTTAACAGATTGCCACACGAAAACCGTCAGCGTGTGCCAGCCCTCCACTGAAGAAGGAGCAGGTTCGGGACCTGGCACTGTGCAGCCGAGTGGCACTGCTCCCAGAACTCTCATCCCATAAAGAGCCATTGAGGGGTCCAGACCCCTCAATGTACAGGACAAATGACTAAAATGAAAAGCACAATGCATGTGAGTAGAACCAGAAACTTGAATGGAGTCGTAATCACTTCCTTAGTGTCGATTACATTATTTTTCGTGTAACTTCATTCCGTAATTCAGTCCTTGGCTAGTGGAATAGTACAGATTTCCATTTATCTGTTGATAAGTGAGAATGATTACTATGATGACCACTAAGTGATATAGGTTACAAGCATCGGTGGGGAAGAGAAGTGGAAAATCGTTAGGGGAGGTGGGAAGGGACTGGCATTCATCAGGAACAAGACGGAACATCTGAAAAGAGGAGGAAGTGCCTACTCGCTACACATGTGACCAACAAAAACTGCTGTCCACCTGCTGGGAATTCAAAACCATACCTAATAATGTAAGAAACTAAATCTAAATCAGGCGTAGGTCTTCAAAATAGCTACAATTTCTATGTGAGAATGAGGTCCGAGGTATGAATTAGGGCCGGGATGGGCATAAAAAGTTCAGGGCGTCTCCTGTGCAGCTGACACTCAGTTGTTGAGCTTCAGGTCCCACAGACGCGATTTAGTGCTTAGAGGGGGCAGGGAGGAGTCAGGGTGCTAATTCAGGCTGAGCCATAGTTTCCATCTGGGTGACCTGAAATGACTCTTTATACAACAGCCAACCTCAAAAAAAAAAAAAAAAAGATGCCACTCTCAGCTAAGCTCTCTCAAAATAAACAAATAGGAGGGGACAGTTGAATTAGATACCATAGACCAAATGAAAACTGTTCTTTCAGCTGAACCAATTTACCACATTCCATCTTCCTCAGTTTTGGGACCAGGATTTTCTATCTCTGAGCCAATCATACTTTTCAGCTAATCAATTTTGACCCAAAACTTGATCTGTCTCAAATAAGCCTTTTTTCTCATGATCTGGAGCTCAGAATTGGTCACAATTTCTTAACAAGACACTTCGTCGACTTGCTAACTATCGATAGACGTAATGTCTACATACACTACCAGTTTAAGAAAAACATCATCAATATCCGAAAGAATGCAAATGTTTCAACAAAAAGGTCATTTGACTCAATGTCTAATTTTTATTTTTCACTCACTACACTTGACCAGTGCGGTTCTACCTCCACAGTCTACAACGACAGTAGGTTATTTTAAATGTCTGTCAGTTGTTTCTTTCAGTTTATGATTATGCCTTTGTTGTAGGTAGCTTGTATCCGGCTGAAAACAAAAATAAACTTTTCTGCGCATAACCCAGCATTAAATTCTCCCATATTATCAACTCACCAGAATTAAGCAAAATGATGGATTTGAGGCACACAAACTCCTCTCCCTGGAGATTAATCATACGGAACCGAGATGATGTAGCTAGTAACATGTCAAAGATCTCCACCATGCCCTCCACACATTTTCCCTGGTTCCTATAAAAACACAGAAAAAAGAAATTTAAAAAAACTAGTAAAGGGCAGAGGAGCTTCCAGAAGACATGCTAAAGTTCACATTTATAAAAATCTACTGGCTCCAAATCTGTAACAAAAAACAGTACCCCATTCTCTGTACAGAGCATGAACATTCATTAGAATTCTAAAAGGCAAGACAAAAACTCATTTTCCATTAATAAAACATTTCAGTTCAAATTCTTAGAAGACATATAGTGTTTAATCCCCAAATCTGTCATGTTAAATATAGAGTTCTTCAACCTATGGGTAATCAAAAATGAGTAAGATTTGAGTCAATGATTTTTTTTCTAATGAATCTTTACCGATCTGCTGTTATACTCTAGATATTGTAGTATTTAAGGGAATGAAAACTGGGCTCCTACTCTCAAAATGCTCACGGCCTTGAAATAATATAACCAAGTCTAATAGGTTTGTATAAAGTGCCTTCGAAGTAGAGGAGAAACTCTGGAGACCACGGGCTCTAGCTGGGCTGAAACCACTGATGCTGCCGAGGATGACAGGTAAGGTTCACTTAGGAGGTGGCGTTTGAGATGACACTTTAAGAAAACGTAGATGTGAAAGCATCATTGAAAGGGGGTTGTAAATATGGAGAGGGAGAGCAGTGTTAATATAGGTTAATATAGGAAAGAAGGAAAGGGTCCAGTGATACAGGATGCCTACATCATTATGAGACGTTTAGGCTTCTTCCCTGTACAACAGAACCTTGGCGTCGAGGATTTAACATTCATAACCTGACACGTAATTCATAACATGTAATATTTTAAAAAGAAAGAACTGTGTCAATATCTTTTGCATAGAGTTGTTGCAGAAATTAAGTGAGACGCTGCATGTGAGAGGAACTTACTCATCTTTTATGTTCACAAGCTGAATTTGGGGCATGACAAGTTCGAGGTGGAGAGGAAGAAGTTAAAATATCATGGGCATATGCAAACATATATTTGTGAAATATATACAAATTTAAAACACGAATGCTAAACGCATTGTCTAGACCTTGTTTTGTTTCGTTTTTAATTAATATATATATCTTGGAGTTCTTCATCAATGGTTTTAACAACTGCATAGTTTTTCACTAAACGAAATGTTGTAATTTCTTTAACCACATTTTTGCTGATGGACATTTAGTTTGATTTCAAGTATTTTGCTGTTACAAATATCTCATGCAGTGATTATCCTTTCGTTTATGTGTTTAGGCACATGTATAGATAGCTATAGAACAAATTCCTAGAAGTAGAATCGCTATATCAGAGGACTCATATTTTTAATTTTGATAAATAGTTCAATTATTGTTCCCAAAGAACTTGTACCTACAGGCTTTTGGTAGGAGAATATATTGGTATAAGCTCTTTTTCTGAGAGGCCAACTCTTGTCCTTTGCCCATATTTTTCTGTTGGGTATTAGTCTGTATCGAGCTCTTTATATATTAATTAGCCTTTTATCCTGTGTGCTTTCAGTATTTTTCTAATGGGTCATTATGTTTTTGTTTTTATTTTGTTTCTGGCATTTTTCTCTGCAAAACATTTCATTATTACATAATCAAATTTATCAAACTTTTCATTTATGGCTTTAGAATAATATATCTTGCTTGAAAAGCTCATTCTCCCTTCCAATAATGTATAAAAAACAATCTTATGTTTCCTTCCAGTATAGTTCCGTGGTTCTATGTTTAAAGCTTTGCTCTTCGGGGATTTACTTTTTACAGCAACTTTATTGAGATATAATCACACATCGCATAATTCACTCATTTAAAGTACACAGTTCGATGAGCTTTTGCACATTCACAGAGTTGTGCAAGCATTGTTTGGGGTTTACTGTGACGTAAGATGTGAACAAGGATTCAGCTTAGTATTTTGCCCAGGCTGCCAGTCATTTTTCTTAACACTTTTATGGGATAAACCATCTTTCACTGACTTGAAAAATGCGAGGTACTTTTGATAAATTTATTTACTTCTTACAACTGTTCTCTAAGGTTAGTATTATTTTCCTATTTTCCTAACAGGAGACTTAGGACTCGTCAACCAACACCACCTATGCCAGAAGAAAGAATTTCGACAATAAAGTTTTCTTTGTCTCCCATTCTTGCTTCACTTTAGTTCATTCAAAAAGATTTACTGGGGACTCATTATACCCAGATTTTGTGCTAGACATTAGGGTAAAGAGAAGAAAGCCATGGGTCTTGTTAATAAAGAGATTCATAATAGAGGCCAGACAGACAAGAAAGAAAACGAGGGAAATACAAGATACGTTCCCCCAAAAAAGGTGTAGAAAGAAAGTCTCTTACAAATATTGTCAGGATCTCCAGATTTAACCCACATCAACATTGAAGCAATTGTCATAATATTCTCAGGTAAAGGTCAATGAGGTTTTATATAAGGGACTCAGAATGTTGTGTGGCACACAGTAGCGCCCTATTTACCTACTAGCTATAGATACATTAATAAATAGATAAATCTATAGATGTCATGGGGGAGATTGGCTTATGGACCTGAAACATCCAGGAGACAAATGCCATGGTCTATTTTGCTTTGACTATGGAAAGCACGAAAGCTCTACATAAGCAGAGAGAAAACTTTGAAAGCTACCTTGCTGAAGAGACGGTGTCACACCGAAGGGTGCAGGGTGCGTTGGCCTTAATCAGAATTGCATACTAGAAGTGAGTTTTTCTTGTCCTAGAGTTAAATTTTTTTTTTTTAAGTAGCACATTTTCTTTCTCATGAAAAAAATAAAGATAGGAGGAAATGTTTGGAGGATAAAGCTTTAAAAATAACAACTCATAGCCAAAATAGAGAAATGTTCCTTTCTCGGTGTAAAGTCTCTGTTTACTTAACAGACTGCACAGCGGCAGGGGGGGAGAGCACGGTGTGGGAGGGAGCCTGCTTCACCGGCTGTGAGCGAAAGTTCAGTTCAGAAACCGAGAAAGTGGAGTCTTAACAGTTCTCCGTTCTTCTGGTCCCTTCTCAATCGTCTCCCATATTTTCTCATGAGAAGCTTGCTCTTAACTCTTCCAGCAAGAGTGTATTCTTCTCAACCTCTTCTCGCTGGATATCCTGTTATTTCTCACCAGCAATCATTCATTACCTGTCGACAGTACAATGCTTGCTCTTCGGCAGGTACTAGATGCCACCCACTGAGCCCTCAGAGATAGGATGGCGCATCCCACCAACCTCGATTCAGTTCTCACCGTGTGTTTGTGTGTGTGTGTGTGTGCTTCCTTTAGAGGAGGTGGAGTCTAAATCATTATGACATTACGACAGGAAGACCCTGGAGCTTACTTTCATGCAAACAGTAGTGCTTCGGGTTTGCTGCTGTCTCAACTTTGAGGACTCCTGGAGGAATATTCAATCTGCTGAAGCTGCAATTTTTAAATAGTGCTGTAAAGGCTAGAAGAATGTTATGCTGATGTCTCCATAAGGATGAACTCAACTATCCTTTCAATGGGAAAAGCTCACTGGGTCTAAACACCTCAGCTCATTCACTGATGATATTTTCAGTAAATCACTGAAACGCCTGCACAGAAATGAGTGACTGATTACATGGTACCTGTGGGTCCCTTGCTAGCAGTGTCACAGGTGAAAAGGTTTGCAGTGTGAGCTGATGAATAGATGATTTTTCACCCTGGGTTCAGGTACAAATTTATCTGGACTTTGGAGGCTGGACAGACACTTGTTGCCTGCCTGACACAAAGGAATCCTTTACTCTCTACTGAGGTCTTTATACCTTGGAATCAGAGATTAATTTTTAAAGTCCCACTGAAATAGTCTATAGTAATCTCACAAAGCCAATTGAACTAGAGCATTTAACTCGTATTCAGAGGGAAGAGGTGAATCAACAGCCTCAGAAATGGGCTGATTACTAAGAATCTGGCAGTAACATTACTGCAAGAAGAAAAGATGAGTCTACATCCGTGAGGTGCTCCTGGGGCTTAGAAACACATGGGGTACAGAAGAACAAGATTTATTTTAAAGGAAGCACAGCTTCAGTCATAGATCAGCAGTAGTTTAGCAAGCAGACTAGCCCATGACTCCCACTGTGAGACGTGACAGCCTGCAGTGACAAACTCCTGCACTGATTATTTCTGGCGTTCACAGCACCTCGAAATCCCCTTGTGGGGAAACCTTGCTCTTCCCTATTCTCTTCAAATACAGTCTATTTGCACTTAAGCGATGGGGGAAGAAACAAGACCGAAAGAGTATTTGTTCATGGCATATCTTGGAAATTTCTCCTGAAAGGAAAGCCTGTTTTTCAGGAACCCTTAGGTTTCTGTTCCTCCAAGTGAGAAGTAAAGAGCTGGGATGTGGATGCACAGATCAAACTTGCCCTTGTATATCTTCAAAAATAACCTTACAAAATGTAAAGTTACCCCATAACCTCTCTTTGTATTAAAGGACATTGACAGATGGAAACAAAAATCCTGGGAAGTCAACATAACACATTTAATTTAGCTGTCCCGAAAGAAAAGTACAATATGGTTAGAAACAAGGGTACAAATTAAGATGCTTTTTCAAATCAATAGTGGCATGTTTCGTTGTATTTAAAGAGAGTCTGTGCTCTGAATCAACTTGGAAGGCAGACCTCGTGCCTGGGGAAAGAGAGTGATGGTGTGTAGCAGGCACTACGACTGTCTTTAATACGGTGTTACAAGAAAGAGGTGAGTTCGGGTGAGAACCGAATGGTTCTCAAGCAGAAACTGAAGAGAATGCGAAATCTCAAAGAGAAATAAAGTCTTGCAGGTTTGGAAACGCCAACTGCTTCTGGCCATGAAATATCAAGAGATAAAATCAGAAAGGATTCTGAGTATAAAAAGTCCAGTGAGACTTCTCAGTTTATAAAGTCACTCACTCTTCAGCACACCTCAGGTGGTAAAGGGTGACACCAAGAGGGTGTGACATCCCCATCCAAGCCTGTTGTTTCAAATAGCCTCAAGATAGTCACCAATAAATCAGGAGGGAGAGGCCACAGAACAA